TTTTCTTTCTGTGGCGGTGTAAGTTCTTGCACTTATTGGAATTTCAATTGCTTTACTCCGAGCTCATTTTTCAATGTTTGCCGAATGGAATATTGCGGTATGGTCAGCTCACGAGCCATTTTTCGGCCACTGCGATGCGGGTTTTGATTAAGTCGCTTCTTTACATTTCAAACCATTTCTGTTGATGTAGTTGTTTTCTTCTGTCCACTTCCTTGACTATGGGCTACGCTATCAGTATCACTGTAACGAGCGATGGTACGCGACACAAAAGATTTATTCACATTTAAATGCTGGAGTGCTCTAACGATAGCCATTTTTTGGTTTTCCGGTCAAATATTAAGAAATCACATTATCACGCTTAAATTTCATCACAAATAACTTTTTTTCTCGAAAATTCTTACCGAAATGCCTTTGTACGCTTTTAAACAATATAATGAGCTGTCACTGGAACAATTTTAACAGCTATCGGACCAGTGGCTTAGAAACCTGCATACTATGTATGGTGGAGGGTATAAAATTGGCCATCCTAAGTGAATTTCGACCTACAAAACGAATGAAGATCGAAAGCTAAAATTTTCTACAGATCTCTCTTTTGTCTGCAGGCAGGTCAAGTTCGAATATGGGCTATATCAGTCCACGATATTGTATAGCCCCCATATAAGAGTACCCCCCCGATATTCGGTATTTTGATGAGTTTCAATGGGTTTGTCAGAAAATCCACACAAAAGCTTATTAGAGTGCTCCTCTCCACGGAAATATTTAGTAAAAGGCGAAAGATTTATTCAACAACTGAAGAAAAGCAAACGGAATTGTCTTGAAATCCAAAAAAAAAAAAGTTTGGTCCGGCCGAACTTTACTGCTTTTTTGTTTGTTTTTTTTTTTCAAAGAGCGATAGTTTATAATTATATTTCAATAAATACTCTAATATGAGTGGAAATGGCCCCAAGTTTTTTTTAGAAAATATAATTCGTAGACATGCATGGACAATTTTCCGTCATAGGTTGTAGTACTCATTACGAGCTTCAAACTATAATCGCGAAATTTGCCAACAATTCCGGTCAAAAATATCGCTAAAATCATCAAAAGACCGATCATTCAGCTCGTCTCAAAAGAAAACAAACACATAAATCATAAGCATATGATCTTCGCCTTAACAAGGCTAAACTCAAAAATTAAAAAAAGTAGTTCGAAGATCTTACATGACTCATACCGCCGACCATTTGAAAATCACACCTGCATATTTGCCACAAATTTTACAGCAAATTAAATTCAATATTAAATTTATATGCGCTATCTGTGATTAATAATTTCTGCCTGATTTATGAATTCATTAGCAGTACAAAAATATCCTCGCATTCAGTTCGGATGCCGTTACATTGCTGGGAAATTAATTTAATGCCATAAAAATTAAAATTTATCTTCTTTCGTAATGCTGTCAATAATTTCAATTTTTATGGTTGTTATTACATCCGTGATACAAACACACAAACACACACACACGCACACATCCACATAAAATGCTGATTGAATATTGCCACCGCTTTATTGCAACAAAATGAAATTTGTTTTAATGACATTCATGAGGACACATTACATTACGAACATTGATCAACATGTAGAAAATTACCGGAAATTATTTATGGATTATTTCCACAGTTAATTTTTCAGTATTCACCTACACCCACATACCAGATGGAAGTTAATTGAAGAGATTGAAATTAATGTTACACACAGATATTCATGATTGTAACTACTCACAATGTAATATAAGTATATTTAAGTAATAATTGTAATTTGTAGCTTAAATAGCATTTACAGCTTTAAAGGAGCCATGTGAGAACAAAATGTAGGTTCAGGTTATTTTCATGAAATTTATGAGAATTCAAAATATTTATAATTCTTTGAGGAGGTCCAAAAAGATATATGCCGATATAGTCAATTTTTGAACACGATCTGTGTTCTATAATAAATGCCATTTAAGGTCACTCCATGTTTTATGAAATCTGATTAAGGTTTTCTTTTTAAATATTATCATTTGATGGGAGGTTAAGGTATGGAAGGCAGAAAATTCATATGTGTCATCTTAAGATGCACAAGATGTCGACTTTTTATAATAGCTGAAAAAAATTATAAAAAAAAACAAGTAAGCAAAGGCTATAGTCATGCGGCATGCATGTGATACTCTACAAGATTACAATGTGTTAGAAGTTCCCTTATGTCCAATCTATTTTGGAAGATTTCGCTTTTGGAATTATGTCACGGAGCACTTCCCACATATTACTCTTAGCATTTTGACCAGGGACATTTGCCCAATATTTACGCACTCCTTCGTGCTGTTAGTTGTTGTGGTCCATTTTACAGCTAAATATAATCCAATGGTCATGCAAAATGCTTGAATCCTTCCTGTCTTTAACTCTCTTCTCATGCAAAATTCCGTCGAATCAATTTAACTAAACAAAAATATTATATTTTAATGAATTAATTTATTATTGTTATTAATTATTCTTACAAAAAATTGGTATGCCGACTGTTGGAACATGCCATACCGACAATTGGCAAGTGGTGCCGACTACTGGCAAAAAAGCATTGTTTTAATAAAACTACAAATTTATGAAATTTAATAAAAAGTTATAATTTTTTTTTTTATTATTGCAAAAACTATACAAAATTTCGAATCTGAATAAATTATCTTTGTAATAATTGAAATGTTTCACTCAGAATGGTGAGCGATTAAAAACGCGAAAATCCTAAAAGTACCGACAAATCCGTGAAAAAAAAAGTTGCAAAAATCATCAAAATACCGAATATCGGGAGGTACCGTTGCATGGGGTGAATGCCGAAACGTGGACTTATACCTTCAATGTTTCGCTAGAACCCATTATACCCAACAAATGCCAATTTTTAAACAAATCCGTGGAAAAATGTGGCAAAAATCATCAAAATACCGAATATCGGCAGGTACCATTATATTGGGGCTAACCATCCTAGACACAATAATAATTGTTCTTTATTACAAATGAAATGAAAAGTTAATATACCCTCCTTTCCAAGGTGGAGGGAAAACATATGTTGCGGACATATTTGAAAACAATAGCCCATGCCCTTCTTTGTGAGGATCGGACGATAATTGCACTCTGCATATAATAAAACCAATTTGTGTTGTAAGGTGAAAAAAAAAATACAAAATGTAAATATAAATGTGTATTCGGTCCAGTCATTCTTGAGATATAAGCATTCTAGCTAACATCCCCTTCCTTTGTATGCACAGATTGTATATATTTCGCTACATATATCTGATATATTTACTATCGACATCTATGTAACGTCACAATTGACCTTTTCGTCTATTTGTGGATTAAAAATATTCGCGGTTTAATGGAAAACTTGACTTTTATTTAACACAAATGTTATGGTCTATTTCACTCTCTGAATATTACCCGACGATCATCCAAATTTGAAGGCTTCTACCCAGCCCAAAGCTTGACCATCCAAATTGGAAGGCTTCTGTCCAGTACAAAGCTCTAGCTCTATGCTAACTTCCGCGTCGATTGGTCTATAATTGCGGCCTGTAGACCAACTGCAAAATCAAGAAATTGTTCCGTTTTTGGTCCATTTCAACCCCTAAATATTTTGCGATCATCTCCAAAATCATAGGCTTCTATTCTGACCATAACCCCACCTCCCTGCAAAATTTCGTGAGGATCGGGCCATAATTGCTACCTGTAGAGTGATTACAAATTAACATGAAGAGACGGACGGACGAACATACATAGCTTGATCGACTCAGCTCGGCGAGATAGGAAGATCCATATATACTTTCCTATGTGGGAAACCAATATTTCGAGGTGTTATCTAAATGTTGGTCCAATCAAACTTATAATACCCCCAACATACTGTTGTAGGGTATAAAAATATATAATAATATCTTGCAGTCACTTCGACTGTGAGGTGTTGGCAGAACATGTTTAAATTAAAAGTTTATTTATTTAATTTTTTAATTGAGAATCGAGTGTGCCAGAATTGAAGCTGAATTCTTCGAAATTACTAATGACAAGAAGTAGAACTAGTTTCAATAGTTTTTAGAACTATTCTAAAGTATTTACCTAAACTGAAAAAATTGTATATAAAAACAAGTAAAAAGCTGTAAGTTTGGCCGGGCCTATCCTTGAATACCGTCCACCATTTGGAACGAATTTAGAACCTTTCAAAAAATAAAATCCGTTAAAAATTCTGTTAAAATCCTAAAAATGCCGAATGTAGCCGTTATATTAGGGTCTATACGACGATGTGGACCTGCATACGCCACTTTTGTCATAAACCATTATAATATTCAAATGCTAAACTTGAATAAAAAATTCGGTGAATAATGTAGCTAAAATCATCAAAGTTCCGAATATAGGGAGTTACCGTTATATGGGGGCTATACGACGACGTGGACCTGCACAGGTCGAAATAGAATTTTATGCTGATCAAGAATATATATACTTTGTGGGGTATAAAATTTATATTTCGAGGTGTTACAAATGGAACGACAAACTTATTATATCCTCCATACAATGGAAGTATAATTAATAAAATGCTACCGGTGTATGGAAAATATGCCAAATATTAGACTTATATTGAAACTTTTTGCCAGAAAAAGACTCTAAATTCTGAGATTCTCCAATGTTAACTGCAACTCATTCGGTTGAAAACCTGGACTATAATCTTCAAAATGGCTCAGCTTGGTTTCATATCTAACTTAACTTGGAATGTAATGTTAATCATAAATGTGTACGCTATGGGGTCTCAGGTGAATATTTCTAGGGGTAAAAACCCCACGCCCACACACAACAATAAAAGAGTTGATATTTTTGTCCAAAATCTAATATACAGCCCATAATCCCCATGTCCGAATATAATTTATTTTATAAAATAGAAAAGCGCTTATTGGTGATATGTGGTTTTACGTTCTTCGAACACCAAAAAGATCAGATATCCATTGCCCCTGCTCCACTTACCTCAGTTATTTTCATGGTCCTCTTAACGACTTTCTTGGTGATTTGGGTAATTTCCTCCACCTCATCACCGTCCTCGTCAATGGTTTCGGTGACAATTTGTTCGGGTGGCAATTCCTCTGTGGTCTCACCGACCAATTCCTCCTTCTTCGAGGTAGCATCGGTGGCTGGAGTGGTTTGCTCCTCAGCGGCTTTAACATCTTCCATTTCAGACATGTTTATTGAAGTTTGTTTCTTTTACTTTCCAAATGCACACACGCACACAAAAACACCAAAACAATACACAAACGCTAAAATATAAAAAAACGCGCACTAATTTTTTTCACGTTTCACTTAGATTTTTCTTTTTAAATCTATGGATGGAAATATGGACGTGGATGTTTGTACGTCGAATGCGATTTGGTTGTTTGTATATATTTTTAACCTTTAGTTAAAGGGGTGTATGTATATATGTATAAACATTTATACATAAATATTCACTAGTTGTTTTCGTTACGTTACGTTATTATGTACTCTGGGAAAAAGAAGGAAAAACAAAATTAAATAACAAAAGAACTAGAAAAAAACACGCACACGAACACTCTAAAATACTAGAAATTTAAAGAAACACAAAAAAAAAACATTAAGAAACAAATTGAAATTTTCGATATGGGAACTTTGTAGTTTTGGAAATTTGTTTTTCCTCTTCGAATTGTTGGTGGAAAATGTGAATGAATTGAAATTGATTTTTTTCCGCCTTTCGAGTTAAATGGCCACCATCATTTTCCTTGACTTTTTGTGGTAGTTTCAATATTTATATTATTTTCTTGTGTATTTTCTTTCAGATAAATCATTCAATTATTTTGTTAGCAAAATCTCGAAATTATATAAACTTATGTTTTCGGAGAATTTGGTTTTCAATATTTCTTTTTTCTTATTTTTCGAGGTTAAGTATGATCAATGATTTTTTTTCAAAATTGATTTTTCGGTTCACTTTTACTTTTTCTTTGATTGTTAGGATTAACAAAAATTAATTCGGGGGGATTTCTGTCGGCACTTTTCTTTAGACAATGAAAATCACGACAACGTTAAGATCGATGCTGTTGATGATGATGTTGAAAAACAACAAACGTATAAACAATAAAAAGAATTTTTCAACACTCCTCGTATTGCGAAAATCCACACAACAACAATAACAACACAATCACTAGCACATGGACATGTTTTATTCTCAGGCCCGAAATTTTGTCACAATTTTTTCTTTATTTTTTTCACCGAAAATCACACAAAGAACCGCAGCGAAAAGCAATACACAACAACAATCTGAGAGATTTGGAAATTTTGTATTTAACTGGAAATTGTGATTTTCAATGAAAACAGTAACACATAGACGGTTCCATAAGGAATGGGGAAGGTCAATTAATTTTCTTTCAAAAATTTTTTTAAAATTTTCCAATTTTCTATAATATTTTATTATTGACAAATTTTTGACAATTTTCTCACATACGAATCGAATACAATTTTCAAAAAAACAACGACAGAATGTTATTAGTTTATTAAATATTTTCTATTTTCGCCTTTTGCTGAAACAAGCGGCAATGCTGCGAGAATCTGAACAAAACGATTGAATTGTTCAAAGAAAATTTCTATATGGTTTGTAAAATTCAGTCATATAGCGGGCTACAGACTCAACACGAACAACAACAACAACACCAAAAATACCTACACCGAAATAAACACTCTCACCAAAAAACTACACTCTTTTGGCTTACACTTTCTCCCTGTGGATATTTATGCTCCAAAATACTAAAGATCTGTTTTAAATACCCACACATGCACACACAATTGCATACACGATTTCATTATGAATGGTGGAGAGATAGAAAAAATCTCTCTCTCAAAGGAGCCACACAAACACGCATTCAACATCAAATGTGCTTCTCCACAATTTCTTTTTCATACTCAACGGTAATTTTGTTCTCCCTGTGAGCAATGCTCTCCATTTTATCACACCTCCTGTGTGTTGGAAAGAGATAGACTGAGTTTCGCTAGTCCTTACTAAATATTTGGAAATAGACAATTCTTCGGTTGATGAATGTGGGGGGTATTGGTGTTGTTGGGTTGTACAGTGCTGTCTGTGCTGGGGGGACCGGAGTATTACAAAAACTATGATGTCATTTTCAAGAGATTTTTCAAATTTTCTAAAATGTGAGAGTGTGTCTCTACGTCAAATGGAGCAAAAAAACAAGAAGTGTTTGTTTACAAAATTACAAATTTCGTCCAAAATATAGGCGGTTTTTTGTAGAATAGCGAATAAGAGTCTGGTTCGAACTTTTTTTAGCAAAACGATCAGTAAAGACTAAAAAGAGGTTTTATAATACCCTACACCAATGCTTTTTATATAATAACCTAGTGGGGAAACGAAAGCAATGGTAATGAAGAGCCACTATGTTTTATTGATTCCATACAAAATTATTGTTAGCACGGCTCATTTCCTGAAAAAATAATATATTTCCCATGTTTTTTGTCAAAGAATAACAAATTGACAATTGACAATTTTTTTCAAGAATGTTTTCAATTGTCTAAAATTTTAAAATATCATTAAATCAAATTTAACTGCAATTTTGACTGGAATATCAGCGATAATAAGGGCCAACAAACTCCAATTGCTGAGATTCAAAAAAAAATCTTGTGAAAAATGTAGCTAAAATCATCAAAATACCGATTAATAGGAGGTACCGTTGTATGAAAAGTATACGAAGACGTTGACCTATTTAAGCCATTTTCTGTCAGTGGATGTAGTACTCATTATGAATTCCAAATACCAAATTTTAAACAATTCCGGTGAAAAATGTGACACAAATCTATATAGTATAATGCTTGGTACAATTTGGTAATTGGTGAACAGATAGTGCTTGAAATCTGAAATGTGGTATTAGGGTCAATGTTCATGTTTAGCCTGGACATAGGGAGGTGGTTTCGGAAACGTATACTATACAGGGTGAGATGAAAAAACTGCAACCAACTTCAGACTGCTATCATTTCAAAGCCACTCGTACGACAGCTGTTAAAATTATTCCAGTGACAGTCAAGGAAGTGGGCGGAAGAAAACAGCAACATCAACAGAAATGGTTCGAAAAGAAAAGAAGCGACTTGATCGAAATCCGCATCTCAGTGGCTGAAAAATGACTCGTAAGCTGAACATATCGCATTATTCCATTTGGCAAATATTGCAAAATGAGCTCGGGGTAAAGGCATTGAAATTCCAAAAAGTGCAAGAACTTACACCACAGCAGAAAGAAAACAGACTTAAAAGAGATCAAGAGTTGCTTCGCTTGGCCGAAAGTGGTGAACAGTCGAATTTGCTTTCTTCGATGAGAAAACATTCGTTGTCCAGCAGTCTGTAAACAAACAAAATGATCGTGTTTACTTGCCAAAGAGGTCAGCTGAAAATGTGCACCTGTTGGCTACGGTGATGGTGTGGGCCGCCATAACAGCCGATGGTCGCACGATGGCCACCAAAATCTCCGAATACCAATCCGCTGGCACTAAAAAATACCAAAGTGTCGATCACCTCAAGCAAGAGCTTCGCCGAAAATGGGCCAAAATACCGCAGAGCAACATTAGGACAGCGTGTGACGATTTCATTGGCCGTTTGAAGGTCATAATTCGTGCCAAAGGTGAATAATTCGACCAAATCTAAACTTATTTTAAAATTTGATGATATTTCCGAGATTTTTTTCTTTCATTCAATAAAATTAAAAAAAAAAAAAAAAAATATGGCGTATGACTTTGTTGCATTTTTTTCTATCTCACCATGTATATATCGAAGTTGAGTTCCAAAAAGGGAAACATACGTCCGAAACTCATCGGAGCTATATCCAAATCTAACCCAAAATTTGATACATTTATTTCGGAGCTGTATCTGATATTTGCGACCAAAGATGATTGTTGTGGAATGCATATTTCTCTTGTGAGGGACTTTAAACCCCAAACATATATATGGGAGCTATAGCTTTATCTGAACCGATTTACACCAAATTTGAAGTACTGGTTTATAGGATTAATTCAGTCGTAATTGCCAAAAATCGGTCCATTTGGGCTGATATTAGCTATTGGGCGCACAATAAACCTGATATCGGATAAAGATATATGTGGGAGTTATATCCTAATCTGAACCGATCTCGACAGTGGTATTTTCGAGCACTATCTGATATTCTGATATATTATAGCTGATTGGGTTGAGAAGTGGGGTAGAAACCTAAAAAATACTGAAAATCAGAAAAAACTCTTTTGTGGAGTTTATAGGAATACTATAGATGTCTGTGCAAAATTTCAAAGATTTGAATATTTATCATGATTGCATCATTCGAAATGTCTGTAATAAGTATAGCAGCGACAACTTATCAAATAGCGGCATCTTATTTCGAACACCTATGATCACACGTTATTCAATTTTCTCACACCTAAAACCAAACAAGTAAAAAGCAGTAAGTTCGAACGGGCCGAATTTTGAATACCCTCCACCATTTGGAACGAATTAGAAAATTTTCAAAAAAATTAAATTCCATTGAAAAATCTGTTAAAATCTTTAAAATACCTAATATCGGAAGGTGGCGATATATGGGGGGATATACAATATTGTGGACCTATATAGACAAATACCTTTCAGGAATTGAAGTGCTCACAAAGAACTCCTTGTGTGGATTTTCAGACTATACCATTGGAAAATATAGCTAAAATCATCAAAATCCCGAATATCGGGGTACCGTTATATGGGGGATATACGATAGTGTGGACCTATATAGACAAATACCTTTCAGGGGTTAAGATGCTCGCAAAGAACTCCTTGTGTGGATTTTCAGACAATACCATTGGAAAATATAGCAAAAATCATCAAAATACCGAATGTCGGGGGTACCGTTATATGGGGGATATACGATATCGTTAACCTATATAGACAATTCTCTTTCAGGGGGTAAAGTACACAGAAGGGATTTCTTGTGTGGAATTTCAGACAATTCCATTAGAAAATGTGGCTAAAATAATGAAAATGCCGAATATCGGGGGGTACCGTTATATGGGGGCTATACGATATAGCCCATCTTCGAACTTGACCTGCCTGCAGACAAAAGACATATCTGTGCAAAATTTTAACTTCCTATCTTAATTCTTTTTGACTGTAGCGTGATTACAAAAGGCGGACAGGCGGACGGACGGACAGGGCTAAATCGTCTTAGTATTTTACGCTGATCAAGAAAATATATACTTTGTTGGGTCTAAAATAATTATTTCGATGAGTTACAAACGGAATGACGAACTTAATATACCCTCCATACTATGTATGGTGGAGGGTATAAAAAAATGGTTTTGTATTTTGGTAGTTTATTTGACAGATAATTCCGTCAAATACACTTGTGTAGAATTTGGTTTGAAACTGTGATATTGTAGACCCTCTAGGAACTAGGATTTCCGATATTATATTACATTTTTCCTTATTTCTTTTCCGCACATATTAATTGCATCTAGTAAAAATGCACGTTTAGACAACACCGGATTTTCCCGTAGAGACATAACTAATAGACGATATTTCATAATTTATGGAGGCAAGTGCGGTTCATGAGCTCAAATAGCGCCAAATAAATATATGAAATTCGGGCGAGACACTACTACACATGAAGACATACATACTTATATAAAACCACCAAAAAATTATCGCATATGCTCAATATTTTTTTTTTTTTTTGCAGTACAATGAATGCTTGGCTAAAGACCAAGCAATAATAATGAGCATAAGAATTGGTAGAGAGGGCGAACAGCAGAAAAAAAAAAACAAACACAAAAGCAAATAGCAAGAACAACATCATCTAATTTGTTCCTAACAAAAAGTTGTGCACAACCACAATGTCCTACGCTCTCAAATAGACAACGGGGTTTGGGCACGCACAAGGCATGAATTTTCTAAAATTAATTTTTATTTTTCATTTCAAATTGTTTGTGGGTGTGCGTGTGTGTGTGTGTTTTCCTTCAACGCTTATGATTGCTCTGCTTCTGCCGAGCAAATAAACCGTCTATGAAAATAATGAAATTAAAGCGAACACATGTACATAAATATAATAATATGTGAACACACACATACATACACCTACATTCATGCGATTCTATTCACTAACGACAGCTGACAGATACAAGAGCAACAACTAAACAAATAACTAAATTGATTGCACGGTATTACAAAATCGGATATTGTTAATTTAATGGATA